TTGCAAAATTTTGCAGTAACGATAACAAAAAATGGCGGATTGGAAAGACAGCATGTCCTCTTTCTCGCCTGTAGGCAAGATTCACAGATAAAATTTACTTTTCAACTAGTTCCATTCAGTGACGTCTATATGGATGGTTATAAAGACTGGGTCAAATCTGCCAGGTGGTTTACTAGAAGCGGAATATAAGCTATAAACTTACAGACTGAGATGTCCAAGTTCATAATTTTTAGTCCATTCTCGTGATTTCTCAGTATATGTGCCTCAGAGCCACTCAAACTATTAACAGTAAGTAAACTGTGTATACAAACAAGCCATAAAATGACAAATTCAGAACAGGAACATGGTCATATTGTAAATAATAAGGTTTCAAACGCAATGTTAGACGACTACGTATAAATTCTATGGACGGTAACATATTGCATAGTTATACATTAGATATTTAGCAGACGGTTACGTGCATGTACACCTTTCAAGTCAAGGTTGCTAGTTCTGAAAGCCTCTTTTCATGTCATTGTTAAAATCCGGGGTAAGAAATTGAATATTAGAATTGCTTATATTTGTTTTCAGAACTCGCAAGAGACGCTCTTGTTTGAGCCTCTATAGGGTAAGGAAAAAATTGTGTCTTGCTTTATTTATCAAAACCAATTTAAGTCAAAAAGATAGCAATCAAGAGGCAAAAGAAGAATAAGCATCACATACTGATGAATATGACAAAATTAATAACAATGAATCTGGGATACATATTTGAACGAAGTTGGCATAACCATCAATCAATTTTTTGCGTAACGCAAATTAAAAATATAATATTATGGCTTAAGTAGAACATATTAGTTGATTTCCGATGCTCAGTTGGCTTTTTATGATCGTATGTAGGTTACATCTATCTACCCCGAGGTCGTTAATCAATGTAGACCATGCCCTAACGACAAAAATAAACAAATTACTAAATTTTTTGTAGTTTTGAATTTCAAACTCAACAGTTTTTCGCTTATTTCATGGGCATCAATTTGCAAAGAATACATTCAAAATATACATTACTAAATGCATCACCGAATGCGATGCCTACAAAAATCGTTCATCCTTTCATTGATTCACAGTAGAAGGAAATAATGCACCAACCTTAGTTTTCTGTTCCATCGCAGCCATTTTATTGGAAATATCAGTGATCGCAGTCGTTTAATCTCGTTTTCAAAGGTGGCGTAACCGTCGTGCTATAACATCGTGAAAATGCAACATGAACTAACTGCAATATGAACTATTTCACAGTTTAACAGTCCCATGTTTAGAGTAGGCTAGGCCAGAGTCATAAAAGGCCTATTAAGTGTAGAAATTTACGTTACAATGAGAAAAATTGAAATTTTTCGTAATATGATTTCCACCATACACTGGAGATAATGTCAATAACATCATAGAGCTAGAGCTGGCGAAATTAGTACTTGGTATATCCTGCTTATTGTTCTGTCCACTAGATACTGCCAAGGGAGTCGGCTTCTGAACCACACTTGTTACTCACACTTTCGTTTGTACTTGTACTTGGAAGCATAATGGGAGTATCCCAGTTTATATCATCATTGATGGAGAATGAGGGTACATCAATTTCATTTGAGCTTAGATTACCAGGAACATTATCAACAGCTATATTAAATTTTAAATTTCTCAAGAAACTCAACAAGCCTATTGCTCATTACCATTTCTAAGATTTTTGAAAATACTGAAAGAAGAGATATCGGCCAACAATTTGTCTTTTTTCTGTCATCTTCTTTTTTAAAGATTGGTCTGACCTATGCAATTTTGAGATTATCAGGGAAAACTGCCTTATGTAAGGACAGATTACAGATAAACACGAGAGAGATAATAAGAACCTGCTTTTCATATTTAATTATGCTAGGCTTTATCTGATCAGCTCGAGGAGCACAGTCTTTTAAAGATGATAAGATCTTATTCATTTCATCATCAGGTACATCAGAGAGAGAAATTAACCTTGTTAGATCTTTAGTTAACCTATGCATGTAGTACATGTGATCATTTTCTGGAATTTTATTTGCCAGGGTTGAACCAATGTTTGAAAAAAAATATTAAAGCCATTGGTTATTTCACCTTTATCCGAGACTTCTTTATTATTCAGAATGAAATATTTTGGCTGGCTCTTTTGCTTGTTTTTTCTGCTCATTATTTCATTCATCAAGGACCAATTTTATTTTCTAATGTTGGTACTTTAATATAATCAAGATATAATCTATTTTTAGTATTACAGGATGTCAAAATAGCTTTTGATAACCATGGTTTGTTATTATTGTATGGGTACCTGATCTTTTTAGTTCTCAGAGGGAATGATTCATTATATGTTTTCTGGATAATGGAACCAAAGTGTTTATAGGCTTCATTCACATCTTCCTTTTGATACAGCTCATTAAAATCAGCTTCAGTCAAAAGCTGCTTTAATTTGACATGATTTTCAGGTGTCATTAACCTGAATTTAATTTCTTCTTCTTTGTTATGTGAATCAAAGGCATTAAACTGTGCATAAGCAGGAAAGTGATCTGAAATATCAGATAAGATTACACCAGAGTCAATTATTTGGCAATTTGTAAATATGTTATCTATTAATGTGGCACTGTTTTGGGTAACTCTAGTTGGTCTAAATATTGCTGGTACATTATGAGAGGCATGGTTTCTAAGAATTCAGAAGTGGGAATGTGATCCGGATTTAACAAATTAATGTTAAAGTCACTCATAAATATACAATCCTTATTTTCTGCATTCACAAAATTTAAGAACCTTTTTAGTGGTTCAATAAACTCTGTACAAAAGTGAGACAATGCAATTCTTGCCAGATTTGTTAATAATGAAACGAATACAGTCGCCAGGGGGCGTCCGATCATGTAAACAAAAAAATCGGTTGGCTTTGAGATAAGCTTCTTTTAGCCAAAAATAAGTAAAAGTTTGGTAGCTATAGTGTGCCCTAGTCGAAGGTATACATGTCGAGTTTGTGGGATGAAAGTATATCATCAAGGTGGGACTTAAATCAACGACTGGAACCACTGTAGATTTTTTTTATATGTTGATATATATAGGGTTTACGAGACAGGAACTAATGTCAGCATAGTTAATTTTTTGGTTCTTCTGTTGGAATTAGCATTATTTACTGCTCCATTGTGACTCCATAAAGCGTTCTTAATTAAATTATAACTGCTTCTGAAGCTGAACAACTTGTCCAAGTATACATTGAGGTCCAAAATAGGGACAATAGTGTTTTCTTTGATGGTCCAATATATCCAAATTGTAGAATTAGTAATATCCAAATGGATTTATGGTTCTATTAAAATGATCTGACAGCAGAAAATAAGAGTGGAGTACCTTCACAGAATTGAGGAATGTAATTTATACCTTTTTGGGAAGCAAACGGTCAATTGACAGGTTTAATGGCCGCATAATTTTTAAGTCAGGACTTAGTGATAAGAGCTTAGCTTGTGTTAGAATAGCACTGTACACACTGGCATCGAGACGTCAGTTTGGATGTAACCTCATGTGAAATTAAACTTTCACTTTGTATAGACGAGTAAGTCTTAAATTCATATTCTCTATGTTTTCAGCCAATCTTATAGACAAGTGTGTGTGGCATCACAACCAGTCAGATTTATTTCGGTCCAAAGCCTTCTCAATGTTGCGGCTTTGAGATGATCTATTCGTTTTGTTTGCACTCTTTACATGCTCTTAAAAATACTATGACGTACCTTGAATTTAATTTTGATGAAATACATAAATATTTGTGAGAATATTCATTGTATTAGAATTGAAGCATTTCATATCTGTATTCAGATATTTCAAAATTTCTTTAGAAAAAACGGAAAATCCTCGTTATCGATTCCATTGGGAATTGACTTCCATTTCCGGCACATCACTTTTTGGATTTTCCGTTTTTTTTCTAAAGAAAATTTGAAATATCTGAGTACAGGAATGAAATGCTTCAATTCCAATATACAGTGTAATGAACATTCTCACAACCTTAACCTCTCACTACCTTAATGAATTTAATGAGAGATTTTAATGCCAAAAGGTGGCAGTGTGGTGCTATGGGGTCTTAATGACAATCTAGTACATGTACTTTAATTTCTGAAACTTTAAAAAATAATTCATGATGTCATTGGTAACAGGTAGCAAAGTTTGTAATCACTTAGAAGTTGGAGAAAAGAAAAAATTGGAAGTTAATCCTATTAATACAGATAAACATTATCTACAACCAATGAGTCCAATGACCTCATCAATCTAGCCAATATATCCCATATTAGACACATTATTAAACATACACACTATTTTGTACAGTCCAATGCATTTATCATTTATTCAACTGAGATCCAGATTCCGACATGCTACACTTAATGCATTAAAGGTGAACAATTAGTGGAGAGGGGCTATTCAACCTTGTTGCCCCTTTAGCTGACCTAAGAGAAAAATGTGTTACAGAGATTACAACAAATAGTTTCTGTTTAATCTATGCTGCAGGTATAAATGTCTCTTTGATTAAGCAAGTATACAATATTTGAGCTATTTTCTTCAATGCATTCATATTTTTGACAAATATGGTACCATATGGCAACATCCCAATTGATGTGACAAAACTGATATCTTGTACTGGACAAAATATTAAGTCGACATCAGATAATGCCTCATGAAATATAAATAGCATGAAAAATAAGTCCAAAACGAGACTATTAGACATGCTGTGGAATATCATATCTATTCCAAAAGCCATAATGGCAATTCAGTACAAGCTTTGATGTATTTTTGAAGTACTTCATAATAAACTGTTTTTGATCACTGATCAAAACTTTTCCCCTCCCACTAATTAACAACTCAGATCGGGGAATTATTTTTTGAGAGCCCTCATTGTTGTTCATAAAACTGAAAAGAGATTTTGCTTTTTCTAATTTGGAAATACATATTGTCATTGTTGACCTTGTTTCTTTGATTTGCAGTCCGTGCATATTTACTGCTATTATGTCTTTTAAAATGTAAAAAATGTCTCTTGGCTTATCCCTGCGGATTGTTATTGTGTACGGACGACCTGATGTTTTGCCCCAGGGCTTCTTAATTGTTTTTACTATTGCGTGATGGAGATGTTTCAGTTCATCTGCTATAGTTTGTGCGACACATATACTTTGATGTTTAATGGCTAAACCAGTTGAATAGTTTGAATGTTTTTCTTCCAATCTCCTAAGAACTTCATTAGCCTGAAATACACAAAAGCAACAATTGAGCCTTGGTGACCTACTTTTAAATGATATCATAGAATTTGATAACCATTGGCACATTATAATTATTATGTAGTGAAATTGTAATCAAATTACAGAACTCTACCATTATTTGCACTTACATTACATTTGCACTTACATTACATTTGCACGTACATGTATTTAAATTTACAAAACACTAGTTACTATCTAGGCTGCTGTTACTATGTAGCTGCTGTTATTACAAAATGTTTCCATTGGCGAAGTGATAGCCTTTGCCTGAATTAGTTTTAATCTTATCTGCGGTACAGGCAGAACATGACTTTGACCTTACCTCAGAGAACATCATTGTGACTTCATCTGATTGGGTACCAATGAATACCTCGTATTCTTCTCTAGCAGTCTCCATCGCTGTTCTTAATATTGCTCTCAGGTAACTAGAATCCCACATCTGTCTGGCAATACTTGGGCTTGTGGATTCTTCTTATAGAATTCATTGGTACTGGAAATAAAAACAAAAAGGCATGTATAATATCTGGAGTATGATGCTGGTCAAATGAGATAATAGTACTAGTTGCTTGCAGTGCTTGAGCTAAGCTCCATTTTTCTGCTGGTCATACGGACTGCCACTTTTAATGTATCAGGTGGTCCGTAAAAAAACTTGCTGGTCAAATGACCAGCACTTTTCAAAATGTTACTGGTCCGTATAAAATTGAACTGGTCATACATATATTTTACTGTTAATCAAAATAAAAGAATAAAAACGTGAATTTTAATCTACTCTTATATTATTTATTGTTAGACCCAATAACTAATGCTCCTTTGCCCTATTCTTGTATAATTTTTGCAACTGGGGCAGACCCCGGGGCCACCTGAACGGCACCCCATTTGGCTCTGCAAATCTTACAATACATAAGTTCTTTTTGTTGATCGTACAAGACCCATTCGTGGGTCTTTTGCCAATGCTGACAGAATTTATGCTTGCGTTTTTGTTCCTCGTATTCCTTGTCATACCGCTGCTTCTTTTTGGGGACGACCTCTTCTGTTTTAGTGTTGTTTTTGTCACGTTTTTGAGCAAAATTAAAAATATCAAAAATTTTGGGCATTTTTGATACTTCCGGTATTTCGGCCAATCAAATTCCTGGAGACATATACCCTAGCTGTTTCCTCGAGAAACTGATTTTAGACCAATCAAAATCTTCGAATTATATCATGTTAAATTACTCGCTTTAGCGAAAACGGAGAGGAAATTAAAAATGAAATTTCGTAAACTTTTTCAACAAATTGATGATTCAGAATCATTGTATTCAAGGTAAGCAGATTGTACTTAAAGAAGCTACTTCGTTTTTGTGCCGGACATTCATAAGTTGGGGTAATCTGAGATATGGTGTCCATGCCGGTCAAATTGACCATCAGTTTTCAAACTCAGCTGGTCTGTTCTATGAATCTGTCAGTCATGACCGACGGACCGACGCTTAGTTCAAGCACTGGTTGCTTGATCAGATTTTACTAAGATTAGCTTTGCGTGCTCGATCCCCGGCTAAAATTAGCTCCAAATGATCTCAGTGCCAGCCTCAATCACAGCGGTCCACGATAAATATAATTTTGATTTGTGTCTCCGCCTTCATTGTATATTGCCTTTTATCATGAATTACTGCATAGATGGGGTTCGATCTATACTTAGGCATAGGGAGGGAAGAAATTACACAGCGTATGCAACATGATCTGCATGGGCGATAATAGGTGAAACAATAAATTAATGGCGTCAGAGACTCCGTCAGTTCCGTCAGTATCGAACAGTGTCACTTCAAAAGCCTAAGGATCCTCTAATAATTGAGCAATATTTATAAAATTTGGAGATCGTCTTCAAAATTATTTTTTTTTAAATCGTATGGTTTTACTTTTTCGATAAATACAATAAACAAACAATATTCGACTATCACTAGTAATCAGGGTTTGGTGTGAATGGGACATTTCTGGTGTTAATTGGTATGAAAAATAATTTTACTACCATCTAACACCAAGTCACACCATAAAACTGGTGTGACTTGGTATGAAAGGATTAAGAGATTAAACCCCTGCTGTTCAACACTGAGTCATGCTGTTTGGCTGGTGTGAGATGGTGTTAGAATAAATTTTAATCCCTTTGATCTCTACAAATCAAAATCCACACCAAGTCACACTGAAAACTTGGTGTTACTTGGTAGTAAAATTTCAAACTTGATTTTCATAGTTCTTGATTGCAATTTATAATTCCTTTAATCTTTTGATCTGCTTATTATTGTATTTTTTCTAAGGGATTTGTCAACAAGTCTAGAATGGAAACTAAACTTGAATTTTTATTTAAGAACATGTTTATTTATCATTAATTACTTGATTTTAGTATATGTTTAAAACTTTAATAGTATTCTTATAGGTTTAGTTTGAGTCTAATTCATTTTTTCCAAATAACTAGAGAAAAAACTTAATCGTCAAACATTCTAATTATTATTAATTGTTTTAAACCTTGAAGATTAAAAAAAACTTGATTTGTCAAGTTATTAAAATAGCATTAATGGATGAGTGTCACAAACAGGATTAGTGAAGCAATTGAGCAACTGAGTATAATAAACAAAAATATCAAACATTGATGTCATGTTTTTTTTGGGTATTGCAACATTGTTTGAATAGATACGACTTAACATCTAATGAGCCTCATTTTGCACATACAGATAAACAAGCATAGTAAAAAAAGTAAGGTAATATGTAATGAACTACCCATCACTGCCATGTTATTAATACATTTAAATGGAAATTGACAAGGATGGGCAAATGTGCCCATACTGTAAACATAATGGAATGACCTACAATTTGACTACTCATAAATGTCAGGTTTAGAGTCAATAATAGGATTAGTATGCCCATAGATGATTCCTAATTGCCCACAGATAGTCCAAATGTGCCTGTACAGTACTGTAGACATAATGGAATGACCTGCTCAGGGTGTCACTGAAGTGTGGGCAGATGACAATTTGACTACTCATAAATGTCAGGTTTAGAGTCAATAATGGGATTACTATGCCAGGCCCGTAGCCAGGGGGGGCTCTGGGGGCTCGACCGAGCCCCCCCCCCCCTGATATCTCCTAAAAAAATGTGGACCTACCTTTTTGCTTCCTTGAAGAAAAACTTGCTCTTCCCCACATTCACTGGGCAATTTAAGATTAAAAAACTGACATTACTGTGCATTGTTTTTCGAATTTGGGCATTATTTTTCAAAATTTGGCCCAATTTTTTTCGGGGACATATTTGTGCCCCTTTCACTCTGTTTTTTAGGATCGTCCTTTGTGTTTTGTTAAACATAGCCTTCTGGCATGCCCCCCCCCCCCACTAGGATGGGCCCGGAAAAATGTTGGCCCAAAGATATTGTAGGGCCTCTTTAGTGGGCCTTTTTGGGCATTACTTGACCTTTTTGGGCCTTATTTTTTTAATTTCAGGCCAAATTTTCAAAAAAGGGCTATAAATTTTTCAAAATTTTAGCCCGAATTTTGGTTTTAGGGCCCTAAAAAACTTTAAGCATGGCCCTAAGATGGGCCCAGAAAAAAAATGTTGGGCCAAAAATATTGTAGGGCCTCTTTAGTTGGCCGTTCCTTGACCTATTTACTTGACCTTTTTGGGCCTTATTTTTTTCAATTGTAGGCTAAATTTTCAAAAACGTGCCATAAATCTTCAAAATTAAGGCCCAAATTTTGGTTTAAAGGCCCTAAAAGGTTTTCCGCGCGGCCATAAGATGGGCCCAGAAATATATGTTGGCCCAAAAATATTGTAGGGCCTCTTTAATAGGCCTCTTTGGGCATTAATTGACCTTTTTGGGCATTATTTTTTTCAATTTAAGGCCAAATTTTCAAGTTGAAGTGTCGGTCCCCCTTGTTAGGTTCCGGATCCGCCACTGTCCTTTACAATACAAATGGGCTTGGTTTTGCATGGGAAACTTTTTTTTTTGGGGGGGTATGGGGGGGGGGTTTCGAGCCCCCCTTACAAAAAGCTGGCTACGGGCATGTATGCTCATAGATAATTCCTAATTGCCCATGGATAGTGACAATGTACCCATACAGTACTGTAAACATAATGGAATGACCTGCTCAGAGTGTCACTGAAGTGAGGGCAGATGACAATTTGACTACTCATAAATACTACCCATATATTCCATCATATGGTCATGGACGTTTTGGCCCCATGTATGCTCAATGGACTTATCCATTTGTTGTTCAGTGTTGGGTGGCACGCCAGGCCCTGAACAAAGAGCATTAAGAAGCAACCATCATGGAAACATATGCAGTTTACGATTGGGTGTCCCATATGGCATTAAGTGGTCAGGCAGCTAAAGTCACCAAGAAAGTTCCATCAGAAACCCCCAAGATTATGACAGAGTATATGTCAATGTCACCATCTACAGATAAATGTGGGACATTCTCTTTGTTAAAAGAGGACTATAGGAGCTCGAGAACAATTGCACATTTTTATGAAAACCTCTACCCTAATGAGAAACCAAATTTATGTGACATTGACCCAGTATGTAAGTTTGTTGGGGAGTGGTAAATATCAAGTGATAATAATGAATGCATCATATATAAACCAGATACATAAACAACTAAAATGAACTCTTCTGCATATATAAAAATTAAAACTGAAATGAGATTTGGTTTAATTGAGAAAATTGTAACTCACAAATTCAAAAGTAAATTGGATGCCTGGGCTATTGTGTCTTTATTTCCACGGCCAGAAGTGACAGATTCCTTCTTTCATTCTCATAATATTAAATGTGATACTAAAATATATCACTTGTCTCTTTTGAGCAAACCCTTAGCTGTAGCTGTTGAAGGAGATAGAGTTTGGTTTGTAAATTACAAATAAGATGAAGTGTTATCCTTTTAGTTATATGTATATTGTTGTACATGGCTAGCATATTATTTATTACGATAAAAAGACTAAATGATTTCAGTAAGTACACATAAGTAATTGCTTCTGTTGATTTGTCCACTTAGGAATACAATTTCAATTGTGATGATTATCTATATCTCCCAAAAGTATGCAAACATATTGAATAAATATAAAACTAATTTTAGAATTAATTTATTTTAATAAATCATAGTGGATTTAATTATGAAATTACTTTATTGCTGTATTGGAACACTGTACTAATAATCTATAAAAACAAAAACAATAAGGCAATCAAGAGATCAAATACATGTTAAAATGCAATCAAGGATTAAGAAAATGAAGTTTTATGTTTTACTACCGATTCACACCAAACTTTCAGTGTGACTTGGTATGAATTTTTGTTTGTAGAGATCAAAGGGATTAAATTTGATTTTCATACCATCTCACACCAGCAGTATGGTGTGACTCAGTGTTGAACAGCAGGGGTTTAATCTCTTAATCCTTTCATACCAAGTCACACCAGTTTTATGGTGTGACTTGGTGTTAGATGGTAGTAAAATTATTTTTCATACCA